GCCACAACGCCTGGCTATTTTTTGGTTGCAGCCGTCATTGTTGTTAGGCGGGTCCGGGCTGGATTCAAACCCGCCACCTTAAGTGTATATGGCTGGTGCCTTAGCCACTTGAGCCACAGGCGCTGAGCCGGGATGAGGTCTTCTTTTGCTCAGTCGTAAACTCCTAAGCTTAATAGATCTTTCTGCCATGGCCTTCCAGAGTGCTAGGATTATAGGTATGAGCCACTGCGCCTGGCCCACTTATCCATTTTTAAAATAAACAAAATATGAGATTTAAAATACAGGGACTCTATTTTAGGGTTACAAAGCACTTGCCAAACTAGAATTCCTACTAACATTTCTATTTGACTGAATCAAGATGTTCAGGGAGCTCTCTGAGAGGCTGAGAAGAAAGGACACCTTGATCCCAGGAGATCAAGACCAGCCTAAGCAACATAGTGAGACGCTGTCTCTTGAAAAAAAAAAAAAAGTTCAGACAATGTTGAAAGTCTTGTCAGCACTCACAGCTCTTCACAGCTTTACTGATGGATTCCACCGATTTCTTCAAAGCCTTCTCATCCATATTGAGTGTGGCTTTAACACACAGCAGACTTCCCAGATAGCCTAGCTCCAAGCCTGGGTATCCTGAGATAACACTAATCCCATAGTTCACTACTCTAATCTCAACACAGAATGTGACCATGGCAACATCACAGCAACCAAACACAGAACATTCTCAAGTAACTGGAAAAATATGCAACAATGGTTGCTATCACTCAGTACAGATACAGTAATTTCATTAGGATATTGTAATCTGAAATATTATAGCAATTCATTTCTCTTGTCTTTGGGGCTAAATATCACTTAAAGTGGTATGCAATCTTATTGTTCATATATACTCTTTTGGCACAAATTCTATAGCTGAAAATATTTGAATACATAACTAAGATTATAAAAATTTTACTTTTTAAATTGAAATAATTTCCCAGGCTGTAAACAGACCCCTCACAAGTTATAATCTCCTATAAACTCTAACAAGAATCCTTTCACGATATCCACTCTGGGAAATTACCCACTTTTACCCTTCCAACTTAGTCTTGACTGACTGGAAGGAAAACATGGTGTGACTAAGCCAAAGGTGACCAAGATGTCAACTATTCTAAGTCTTGTCTATTGTAAGATCCTGACATAATCTAGTCTATATCTGCTGGCCTTCACTGTGATAAGGCAAAATGATTTTTAGAATTTAGGATACTATATTTTTACTAAATTTTTAATAAAATACAAAAATAAATTTTAAAATAAGGTAAATACAATTTAAAAAAATTTCTTCCAACTTTTGTTAAAGAAATACTAGATGAGTGTTCATATATTTTAAGTTTAAAAAAAAAGTGGCAATTTTTTCAAAGCATGAAACCAGTCACTTAGGTGTGAATAGCTGTTCCCACTTGATTTCCCTGAGGCTAGTCCATGGTTCTCCATAAAATGTCAGAAAATTAAACAACAGGTTTTCAGAACATCTTGATCAAAGGAGTATGAACCTGTATTTTACTTACATATATTCAAGACATTCTTATGGTACTTAAAACACAGACATATACTACGGGTAACCAAAAAAATAACCACAAAGCCAACTTTTCTATCCAGACAACTCATCAATTTCTGGCAGTTATTCCTGCACCATTGTACAAATAACATGCCTTGTGTTTTTAAAATTGCTTTAGAGGTATTTAAAAAATAGGGAGGTTTGGTGGAGAGTAGATGTTATTAACTTGCACACTGTAATAAATTTGGCATAAACATAACTGGTAATACTATCCTGTCAAATTTTCTTTCCATACTTTGTTGGAAGGCTGTCATATACTGTAAAGCTACACTTCTACATTCATAGCAAATCTGATCAAAAAATGACCCCATAAACTCATCTTTCAGCATTTTCATGAGCAACAGTTCTGAAAAACATTCTTTAGATACAAAACATCCTGCAAATCTTCTGTGTACTCAAATAGCATATAAATATCTTTTATTAGGAAACAGTATGCAACTTCAAGCAAAAAATTTAAAGAAGCTTACCAAGAAATGTGTTCTCTTTATAGCTAAAAATCTCCAGGATATGTGTTATTTATCCACTGTTTAATACCGAGGAGTGCTTATCTTTTAACTTTACTTGCAACCCAAAGGCAGCTGATAAGGACACAGCTATTTTTAAGTAAAATAGCTATTTATTCAGCCTGCTGTCATTTTGCCAACACTTTCTGCGAATATACCACTACAATTAGCACACCCTCTTGTAACAGGCAAAATTGTACATCAACTTATATTTCTTGCTACCTGATTATGTAAAACTGTAAAATGAAAATGATTTATCAATTCCTTTTAACATTCCTGGTAAACAATTCAGCAGGAGAATATGAGGCACAAAATCTTAGTAAAATATGACATAAGAAGAGCAATAAGATAACTCTCACTTAAATTTAACATGTCATAATTTGTTATTAATATACAAAGACAACAAACATTTAAAACATTACATTTACTAAGATTCAATAGCTTTATATAACAAGACACAGCATACCAGGCCCACCATTCAACTTGTTTATGGTAAGTCTCAGCTTCAATATGAAGCTGTTAAAAAAAAAAAAAAAATCAAGACCCTGCTTTTTTACATGCTAAATATCGTGGCAAATATGCCATTAAACATAGCAATAAAATTAAAACAGTAAAGTAAGGAGTTAACAAAAGCTAAACATTGCAGCCTAAACAAAATTCATACAAAAAAATAAACTATCACTGGTTACATAAAATTTTCTTGACTGGATTAAACTTAATAGTATAAAACATGCATTTTAGAATCATTAGCTATCAAGTTCAAAAAGTACCAGTGTCCATTTGAAATGATTCCTCTCTAAAGCCAAAGTAGAATCAAAATTAATGCAAATGACATAACTCATTCTAATACTAAAAAACATTCAGTCTTATTGAAGTGGAGGTAAATCCCAGACCTTCTGGGGCTTTCTCATGCTGCAAAGGGCTATTTCTGTAATTCACTCAAAGCAGCACATAACAGATTCCAAGGATGTCACTAAGTGCAGTTAAGGGTAAGACTGCTGGTATCTAACTCTGACCTCCCCCTAAAACATGGCTGTGTCCACAAATATAGGATGTGTGAGGATCAAAGGCACGCTCTTCTGCTAGCTAAAGAGAAGCAAACCAACCCCCCCAACCCTAATAGCTCCTTCCCCAGGTAAATAAAAAGTATACAAAGGGGAAAAATTAAAATACACCTATCTACAGAGTAAGGATTTTAAAATATCAATATAATCCTTACTTCAAAAATTTTAACTAGAGTCATCTGGCCATTTCTGATTATCTCTTAAAGATGTATTCAGATACAATTTCTGTTGGTTTACCATTGGACATTGCTAGTCAAAAATATTAATTTTATTCCCAAATACTATATCTCATCCACTAGTACAACTGCAGTGTATTATCTCCCAGAGTTAGTCATCAAGCACTGGAAGAGAAAAACTAGATGTTCAAGCAGCAGGCAATAATTATGGCCCTTTCACACAGCGGACTCTTAGTGGCTACTGAATAGTCCAGGAATAATTCTAAAAACAAGAAAATTCGTGCATTTTAGTAAATATGTTGTAGTTTTCACAGTTGAAATTTCCTTAGACATTGCACTTTCTTTTATAAGGGAATCCTGATTTTTTCTTAATGTTATGGTGAGTCAGGACTTGAACTTGCAGCCTTCTTTTTCTTCTTCTTACTGTGTTTCTTATGTTTCTTTTTCTTCTTTGTTTTGTCCTGTAAAGACAATTCTATGTTAGACATAACTACATGAAAATACACAAATTAAAAATATCTTTATCATGGTACTTACAAGCTACTAGATATTTCAAACAAACAATCCACACAACCAAGTAAACTACTCAAAACATTTCTCAAAAATGTCTCAAAACTAGTATCATATGAAGACTAAGAGAGTTCTTGTTGATTTTTTTTTTTTTTTTTGAGACAGAGCCTCAAGCTGTCCCCCTGGGTAGAGTGCAGTGACATCACAGCTCACAGCAACCTCCAACTCCTGGGCTCAAGCGAGCTTCCTGCCTCAGCCTCCCAAGTAGCTGGGACCACAGGTGCCTGCCACAGTGCCTGGATATTTTTTGGTTGCAGCCGTCATTGTTTTTTGGCAGGTCAGGGCTGGATTCGAACCCGCCATCTTAGGTGTACGTGGCTGGCACCTTAGCCACTTGAGCCATAGGCACGGCGGAGCCAGTTCTTGTTGATTTTCAAAAAGATAAAGGAAAAACTCATAAGCATAATAATATAGCTCCTAATAAAATTTCCTGCAAAAAATAAATTCAATTGAGTCATGCTACTAATTGGTATATTTTATGTTATATAATTTCTAAAGGTAAAGTAATTGTAGTTATTGTAAAGGAGTAACCACAGAAAAACGTAACTTTCTATTATAAAATGATAGTTTTCAGGGTGGCGCCTGTGGCCCAGTAGGTAGGAAGCTGGTCCCATATACTGAGGGTGGTGGGTTAGAACCTGGGCCTGGCCAAACTGCAACAACAACAACAAAAAATAGCCGGGCATTGTGGGAGGTGCCTGTAGTCCCAGCTACTTGGGAGTCTGAGGCAAGAGAATCGCCAAAGCCCAGGAGTTGGAAAGTTGCTGTGAGCTGTGATGCCACAGTACTCTACTGAGGGTGATGGAGGGAGACACTGCCTCCTAAAAAAAAAAAAAAAATGACAGTTTTCAGAGAGAACATAAATATAAAATGTGACTGTTTTTTAACAGATGTAGTCTCGCCTGTAGTTCTACTATTTTTAAGTAAAAAGGAACATAAACATTTTGTACAGCTCAGGCTGATGACACTAATCAAATTAACGTCAACTAATTAGTACAAAATATCGATATCTAGTTGAAAAGTCTATTTTGTTAAGTAAAACAGATGCTTGCTATCAGCGGAAAATACCACTGAAGCCTGGTAAAAGCAGTTAAATTAAGAGTGAATAAAGGGGAGATGGAGTTTTGCTGGACTCTGACTCATGACTGCTTCTGCCATAGAAGGCAGAACTGTTAGAATCACAGATACTTGGAACGGTGGTTCCACACAAGACTACACTGCCAGTGCTGATATTCAGGAGGAGAAAATAAAAAGCAAGAAAGGAGAGGATACCTTTAAAGGTGATTAACAGCAGAGCTTACTGTCTATGAGGACTGCTTACAACCTCTTCTCTCTCAAATGCCTCTGTCACTTTATGGCACTAAGCTCTCATCATTCTTTTTTCAATACATGCTTAAGTTAAGTACATAGCAAGTTTTATAAAAAGTCCAAAATCTTACAAATTAGGCTTTTAAAACTAAGTTTTGGATATAGGCTACTTTTCCATAAAAGGACAGATGACCTCTCTCTTCTCTTTTTTTTTTTTTGAGACAGAGTCTCAAGCTTTTGCCCTGGGTAGAGTGCTGTAGCATCACAGCTCACAGCAACTTCCAACTCCTGGGCGTAAGCGATTCTCTTGCCTCAGCCTCCCAAGTAGCTGGACTACAGGCGCCCACCACAATGCCCAGTTATTTTTTGGTTGTAGTTGTCATTATTGGCAGGCCTGGGCTGGATTCAAACCCACCAGCTCCACTGTATGTGGCTGGCACCTTAGATGCTTGAGCTACTGGTGCCGAGCCGACCTCTCTCTTCTTAAAATACTTCCACAACACCTTACTCGGCTGGTTTTCTTTTATCACAAAGACCTCTTCATTTCCTTTGCTGGCTTTTTTCCCTATGTGCAACCTTTCCAGGCTTTCTGCCACACGCTCTCCCAGTCACACACTTTGAAATCTACTTAAACACTAATGATCCCCAAATCTTTATATCCAGTCATCTCTTTGATCTCAAGACTTTTTAAGTGTCTCCTTAACAGCTCTACCTGAATGTTTAGTAGCCTATATAAAATTACTATAACAAAATGGTTAATTTTCTTCTCCAAATTCTTTTAAACATCTTAATATAAATGGTACCACTAATCTGTCCTTTGCTTAAGTAAGAGAAACTAAGCTATCACTTATTCTGATCTTTGCATTAACTTCAGTCTCCAAGCAAGTCCTACCATCTAAGTCCAAAATATATCTCAAATCCTTCCATGTCTTTTCAACTTCATTACTACCACTGTAGTAAAAACATCATTCCTCATCATCTCCTTCTCCAAAAAATGCTTTTAAAGTGTAAAATATTCAAGTCACCTTTTTAAAAAACCCGCAAAACAGCTCTTTACAACATTCTGAGTAAAACCCAAACACTCTGCTACATGACATGGCCTCTGTTTACCCCTCTCCCTCGCCAAATGCTACTCTTCTTTACCCACCAGGCACTGGCCATGCTTACCTTCTCCAGTTCCACAATGTAGCATGCTCATTCCCACTACTAGTCTTTAGCTATACTCTTTGCCTAGGACATTCTTTCCTTTGACCTCCATGTGGTTGGTTGCCACTTCTTTGTAAATCAGATTTTGGTATAATTTTACTTCTCCAGAGAGGTTTCCTCTAGCCCCTCCCCAATTACTCTTTGATATATCACGCTCTTATCTATCTTGTACTCTACAACCTAGGACAGCACCTTCATAAAAATGCTAATACAGAGGGTGCAAAAAAAGTATACACATTTTAAGAAAGGAAAAAACTGTACCAAAATCATAATACTCAAGTCACATTTGAGATTACAAGAGATATAGTGTACAATACACAAGATAACAAACCGTAACAGTATATATTGAGTATTAAATTTTAATACAATTGTTCCTTAAAATGTGTATATGTATTTTTGCTCCACCTATATACTACATATACTAGCCAAAAGAACAAAACAGTGAAGGAATGCAAACACTCATTTGGTTTCTGAATTAACCTTAAGTACAGACCACAGCTGTCTCCACCTAAATTACTTCCACATTCAGAAAAAGTGTCTCTGATTTGTTACCCTGCTCTTACATGCAAAATGTTATTTCTGAATCATACATTACCACCTTATTCAAGAATATCCCTCATTTTAGAAGCTAAGGAAATTCTGGGAATGAGTTACTCCAAACTCCAAATGATACTGTTCTCACTGTCTTTCAGCTCTCTAAGAAAATACCTTCCAACGCCTTCCACACTTATACTGAGTCCCTAAATCATGCCGCTGATATGGTCTACATTATTCTTTGATAATATGTTAACTATTTTCTCTTAGTCTGCCTCTCATTTGGATACTACTTCTATTTTCCTTAATTCTCCTCTTCCTTCTTTCTCCTTTCTCACTTCTCAATTTGTATAATAGGAGAGTTGGCTTTAAAAACTATCAGAAGAATCATCTTCACTCATGTTTCCTATTCCTGCTTATTTTTCATTGTAGCTAGTGCTTAGAGAGGCTTTTTCAGTTATTATTGGGTGGGTGTGGCAGATTTGGAAGTAAATCCTATCAAAAACTGAGAAATTCACGGCACCTCAATCTCATATTTCATATTATAGCTTGAGAAAGTCAGAAGTTTAAGCTTGTATTTCTTTTTTTTTTGAAACAAGAGTCTCACTTTGTCACCCTTGGTAGAGTGCTGTAGTATAGTTCGCCTTAACCTCAAACTCTTGGGCTCAAGCAATCCTCTTGCCTCAGCCTCCCAAGTAGCTGAGACTACAGCTACTGTAGTAGCTAAGCCACAATGACTGGCTCTTTTTCTGGGGGTCTCTGGCTCAGGCTTGTCTCCAACCCGTGCGCTCAGGCAATCCACCAGCCTCGGCCTCCCAGATGCTAGGATTACAGGCATGAGCCACTGCGCCTGGCCTAAGCTTATATTTCTAATAATAAAATACTGAAATGGAAACAAAATATTTGCTACCAACGTATTCTTCCTTTTTCTTGAGCCAACTGGACTTTCTTCTATTCATTAAGCAAAGCTGCTGGACACTGCATCTTTCCCAATAAAATTTATTTGGTCCCAGTAAATCCAATCGTGATTTACCATGATACATTTTCTATTAAACCAAAACAGCTATACTATTGTCATGTAAAAACACTGAGATACTTGCTGTTGCTTTTTCTCGTTCTTCACTGCTTTTCTTCTTTTTTGCTCGTATCTAAAAAGTTGAAATTTTGCGGAGAACAGAAATTCAACATACAATTTGCATTCAAGGTATTTTTCTTTCATTCTCTAATATGTTCTGCATCTTTAAAATTTATACATAAAAACCATTTTGACACTCAAAAGATATTTCAACAAAGGTCCAATAAAACTCATACATAAAGGAAAGAAAAGCTTCTCTTATATCCACCCCCCCCCTTTTCTTTTCTTTTCTTTTTTTCTGAGATAGTCTCATTTTGTTGCCCAGGCAAGGTTGCCATGGTGTGGCCATCATCCTAGCTCAGTGGTTCTCAACCTTCCTAATGCCACAACCCTTTAATACAGTTCCTGTGGGTTGTGACCCACAGGTTTAGAACTGCTGGCTTAGCTCATAGCTACTTCAAACTCCTGGGTTCAAGTGATCCTCCTGACTTAGGATCCACAACACCTGGCTAATTTTTTTTTCCTATTTTTAGTAGAGATGGGGTCTCATTCTTGCTCAGGCTAGTCTTGAACTCCTGAGCTCAAGGGATCCTCCTGCCTTGGCCTCCCATTACATGCGTGAACCACTGTGCCTGGACTATCTTCGCTTTCTTCACTGAAGTAAGAGATTACAAAACCCAGTATGGTACAGTAGAAAAAATATATATATACCACTGATATAAGACCATGGTCTGAATAAATCCTACCTCACTTTCATCATCAATAAATTGGAGATAATAACCTTCAAGGGGAAATGCCTGGACTCTAGCAGGTATTTCTCTCATTCCATAGTGCTCACAAATGGTATCTCTATATATAATATTGTACTCGGTACAAACCAACTGTTATTCAAAATCATTTTAAGTAATAATATCACTTCATTTACATTTAATCTCAACCTTTCTAAATGTTGTACAGTGGTTTTATATTAAACTGAAAGTTGCTAAGCCCCATGTATACTATACATCTAAAAGTATGAGTCAAAAGTCTAATGTAAGAAATTTTATATTAAACTTACTATGTAGCAAATATAATACAGCATAACATAACATAATATTAGAGTATAAAAATTGGCTAAATAATGAATTGTGTGGTTTCACTGCTAAGTGACTACATAAAAACACATGATCCAAATACATGAAAATTTAATTAATAATATTAGGAAGCCAGCATTAGAGACCATTAGCTTTCAACAGGGGAAAAAGCCTTCATAGAGAGTACTTAGGAAATCATTCAAATTATTATTCTGGTCATTATAATGACTTGGGGTGACAACAGCTGCATTGTATCTAGAATTAGCCAGGCAGAGACAAGGGGAGCTATTATGCAATGTCCAGGACAACCCCGTACATCCTATGTGACTTCTGAATAGCCTGTTAAATATTCATGTAATGAATCTGTTTATAATACAGGAAGTAAATTTATTGTAAATATAAAGTATTTTGTGCAGGATTTTAAGATGTAATTCATGTCCCAGAAGTGCAAATGTGCCTATCATATAAATAGAGGGAAGACCGCAATTTATTTCATTTATAGCTTTACTAAATCTTGTCTACCATTCTGAACAATGTCACTGATGACAACACCCATGTATGGGTTTTGAAAGGCATATGGCATGCACTTGCCACAGCCTGCATTTTGTTTTGTCTTAAGATAGTTATGTTTCAGCTCAGTACAGTGGCTCATGACAGTAATCCTAGCACTCTGGGAGGTTGAGGCAAATGAACTGCTTGAGATCAGAAGTTTGAGACCAGCCTTAGCAAGTGTGAGACCCTGTCTCCACTGAAACTAGAAAAACTAGTTGGGTGCCTATAATCCCAGCTACTCCGGAGGCTGAGGCAAGAGGATCACTTGAGCCCAAGAGTTTAAGGTTGCTATGAGCCATGATGCCACAGCATTCTACCCAGGGTGACAGAGCAAGACTCTGTCTAAAAAAGAAAGATAGTATGTCTTCGGTAGTTACCACAATCAAGCATTTGTATATTGAAATATAATTTCATAAAATTAGACGTTATTATTTTTTACTTTTTTCTTTGTATTTCTGTTAGGTGATAGTAATATAAAAAATCTGTATAGATTGTATTAGCTACAGATTTTATTTAAGGGGACATTACAAAATACTGCTATAAAATGGGGGCAGTAGGTCTGACAGGACTGAGGGCCACTGTTGTGGACCAACTAAAATGAAATCAGAAAGAAGACAAGCATAAACAGAAAGACAGGCCCAGGGAGTGGGGGATTAGAAATGAGTAACCTAGAGCTTACTAAATTACTAATGAAATCACTCATTTCTGATGAGATGAGAGACGGATAGGGGCTGGGCATATACAAGAGGAGGCCAACACTAAAAGGAGACAAAATCAGGAAAATCGGCTCTAACAAAAATCTGCTACCACCCCTAAACCTTCAATTTGTTTAGATTACACTTTGGAGGGTTGCCTATGTTGACTTCCAGAGAAAGCTGCAGCTTTAAAAATTGTGATCCAAGTGCAATCTTCAGTTAGCTTTTACTGAAACACCAAGAATTATGCAAACTTTAAGGAGTGTTTACTCTGTCCCAGGTATGATGTTACCATTCATAACTTATTGTCTCATTTAGCTCTTAAATTACAGCATTATGATAGGCTCGTACTTTACAAATGAGAAAACCAAGGCCAAGAGAGAAATACTTTAAAGATGATAACTTATACTACTGAAATTAAGAATCAATTCTAATTTCAGTAGGGTATAAAATCTAAGATAGGGACTGTTGGAGCTCAAAAAGACTATAAAGATGAACTGATCCTCCTCCCTCATTTTACAGGTAAGAAAAACTGAGGTCCTGCCAACCTTTCTTCTTACCTCATCACCTTTCTACTCCCCTAATAGTAACTCAAACAAACAAATAACAAGAATACTATCAACTAAACTGAGACTGTATGAGCAGTGTTTTATTTATACATGCATTTTAACCAGATAAGGGAATGATGGCTTTCAATACACTACACATTTTAACAGCCTCTTTCATGGAACCAGTATGGGTACAATAAAAAGAAAATACCAGAACAGTAAAAATCAAATATTTCTGATTGAAAAGGTTAAAATATGGTTGATTATCAAAATAAAAGCCATAATAATCTTCTGGAAAAATACAAGATTTATTCTGAAATGAAACAACTCTCATTTCTTCTTTTTATACTAGAAAAGTGACTAAATCAAATATTTATGAAGTATTTCTTTTTATATACATGTGGGCTTCTAGATCCTTGACCATGGCTTTTTGATTGAATTCAAATTTTATAAAAAAGGATTTTATAAAAGGATTTGTTCTGTGAAGGTTAAATTTGGTCAAAAAGCACACTTGGGAATTTGGAGGGCAACGTGTGGTCTTGAGGCCACAGGTTCCCTACCCTTGACTGGGTTTAATGTATACTTACCTCCTCAATATAATCTGATTCTGATAAGGATTCAGATGACAAAGGTTTATCTTCAGGACACATCTTTCTTTTTTTGCTGGGTCCTTTAATGTCCTATGAAAAATAAATATTAATGTATGTATCTTGATTCAAAAACATAATACTATGCCATACAATTTCTAAGTTCTACTTAATAATTCTTCTAAGTATCACAAAAATTACCCATTTTTATTTGAGAAGTATCTAAAAATGGTGACATTTACCAGGATTCAAGTCTTTACTTCCACAGAAACAATGCTTTTATTAAATAACTTGAAATAACTACATATCCATTAGATATAATATCCTCCTATACAAGATATACTTTTAAGAGTCATAAGAGATCATGTAGATGGTATAAGATTTGGGTCCTTTGTATTCTAATTCTTTTATTTTAACCTAGGGTTGGATCAGACAGATTCATTCCTGCAGAAAAGAAAAATCAATGGGCAACTGTCTGCAATAATTTAAAAGGATTCCTACACAGTAATTCCTTTAATGAGTTTAAAGTGTTAAATCATATTTTAAAATACCTTAATTTCTAAGAATGATTAATGTTGAAAAGATGAATAACTCTCAGGAAGGAGATGAGATTAATTGGGACAAGTACTTAGGGACTTAAACATGTATTTTAAGAATGTTTATTCCAAACTAGTATGGCAAATGTTAAGATTTATTAGAGCTTCATTGTAGATATGCTAATAGTTTTATTATTTTCCATATATTTATGCATTTCTTAAATTTTACAGACAGAGTCTTGCCCTGTTGCCCAGGCTGGAGTGCAGTGGTGCAACCATAGCTCACTCCAGCCTCCAAATCCTGTGCTCAAGCAATTCTCCTACCTCAGCCTCCCAAATAGTTAGGACTATGGGCACATGCCGCCATACACAGCTATTTTCAAAAAATTTTTGTAGAGATGAGGGTCTTGCTATGTTGCCTAGGCTGGCCTTGAACTCCTGGCCTCAAGCCATCCTCCCAAAGTGTTGGGATTATAGGCATGAACCTCTACATCCAGCCGCATACACTTTTCCTATATGTCTAAAGTAGATCATCATAATAAAAACAATAAAAGCACACAATGGAAAAAATGCTTACCATCTAATCTTACACATACAGTCAAGATATAAAACTTTTGCATTATGGCAGGTGTGGTGCCTCACATCTGTAATCCTAGCATTCTGGAAGGTGAGGAAAGTGGACTGCCTGAACTCAGGAGTTCAAGACCAGCCCTGGTAAGAGCAAGACCCCGTCTCTACTATAACTAGAAAAACTAGATGGGTGTTGTGGTGGGCGCCTATAGTCCCAGCTACTTAGAAGATTGAGGCAAGAGGATCACTTGAGCCCAAGGGTTTGAGGTTGCTGTGAAGTATGATGCCATTGCTCTACCTAGGGTGACAGAGTAAGACTCTGTCTCAAAAAAACAAAACAGAATACGTGTAGGATCTATTAGTGTAGAGTATAAATGTCTTTTTTTTTTTGGAGACGGAGCCTCAAGCTATCCCCCTGGGTAGAGTGCCATGGCATCACGCTCACATCAACCTCCAACTCCTGGGCTCAAGCGAGTCTCCTGCCTCAGCCTCCCAAGTAGCTGGGACTACAGGTGCCCGCCACAACGCCTGGCCATTTTTTGGTTGCAGCCATCATTGTTGTTTGGCGGGCCCGGGCTGGGGATTTGAACCCACCACCTTGGGTGTATGTGGCTGGCGCCTTAGCCGCTTGAGCCACAGGAGTATAAATGTCTTAACATAATAATTAAGTAAACGAGATGAGGTATATATTAACCAGTGTGATACAAGCATTCCTAATTCTATATGAAATCAGCACATTGTACCCCATAAATGCATTAATGTATACATGATCTATGATTTAATAAAAAAAGTAAATATAAAAAAATAAAATAAAAAGAGCATATCTTACCTAAAAAGTGAAAACAAAACAAAACTTTTACATAGTGTGAGTCCAATTTTAAAGACATAAACATAAAAACATGTAGAAAATAAAACTAATAGGGATTATCTATGTGTTCAATTATAGGCGATTTCATTTTCTTTCTGCAAATAGCTTTATTATTTTGGTTAAAATGAAAAATGTTCACTGAAAGAAAATATATTCAAATCCTACTACCAGACATTAAACATCATTAAGATTTTGAAAACATCTCTCTATGTGTATGTTTACTATTTTACATAAATACTTGCTGTTTGAAACCTGCTCTTCTCACCCAATAGTATCTTTTCATGCCAACTACATCATCACTTATGGCCACCTTTGACAGTCATTGGAGTATATGCCAGAATTTATTTAACCCATCTACTTCTGGAGGGCAGGCATGTGGGTTCTTTGCTATTAAAAACAAAGTCAAAATGAAGTGAAGGGCATGTGAGTGCAAAATCTTCATCTAATAAAGACCAAATCAAAGACCAAAGTAGCCTTCACACAAATGGTAGTTTTGCTCTCCTACCACCCCTCAAAATTGTTTATTTACTACCCATTTATGAATCACACTTTACCAAAAACTTCTTCATCATGTTCCTTATCGATCATACTAATCTCAGAGAAGTGGAGTATAGCTTTTATTTTCTTTTAGAATTGTCCAAATGTCTATTCTGCCAATTTATATATGTGTTCTATTCTTTCTTCCTTAAGAGTTTTTGTCTTATGGATTCCTAGAAGTTTTTCTTAGGCTTTTCATAATATTTAAGCTGTATCCACAGCTTAATTTTGGTAATCTATCTCTTTTTGCCATTCAGAATTTGAAATATATGGTCATAAGCTTCTGAATTTTTCTCATTCAGTGCTGGAGGAAATGAAAAATATTACATCTACTTTGGAAGAGAGTTTGGCGGTTCCTTATAGAACTAAACATACTACTGCCAAATCACTCATCAATCACACTCTTGGTATTTTCACAAATGAGTTGAAAACTTATATCTAAACAAAATCTGCATAGTAATGTGTATAGTAGCTTTTTTCATAGTTTCCAAAGCTTGGAAGCAACAAAGGTGTCCTTCAGTAGCTAAATAGATAAACTATGATATAGGAAGAAAGTGGAGTATTATTCACTAGTACAAGAAATGGGCTATCATGCCATGAAAAAACATGAAGTACCTTAAGTGCATATTGCTAAGTTAAAGAAGCCAATCTAGGAAAAAAAGGCTCCATCCTGTATTATTGTGATGGTATGACATTTTGTAAAAATTAAAACTACAGAGACAGTGAAAAGAGTTTGGTGGGAGGGAGGGACTGATAGGAGGATCACAGAGAATTTTTAGGGCAGTGAAACTATTCCGTATGACACTTCAGTTGTGGACAAATGTCATCATACACTGCCAAATTACAGGCAATGTATAGCACTGAGTGAACTCTGATGTAAACCTGGGGCTTTGAGTGATTATAATGTGTTAGCATAGGTTCATTAATTATAACACAGGTACCACTTTAGTGTGGATTGCTGACTAGGGGCAGGGGACAAGGAAGTGTCAGGGGGTGTATTTTTTTTTTTTCTTTTAGAGGCAGAGTCCCACTCTGTTACCCAGGCTAGAGTGCCATGGCATCAGCCTAGCTCACAATAACCTCAAACTGCTGGGTTCAAGTGATCTTCCTGTCTCAGTCTGCAGAGTAGCTGGGATTACAGGCACCTATCATGATGCCCACTAATTTTTCTATTTTCAGTATAAATGGGGTCTCACTCTTGCTCAGGCTGGTCTCAAACACCTGAGCTCAAGCAATCTTCCTGCCTTGGCCTCCCAGAGTGTGAGATTACAGATATGAGCCACTGCGCTCCGCCCAAAGGTATACTGAAACTATACTTTTCAATTTTGCTGTGAACATAAACTGTTCTAAAATCTATGGGGGGAGGCAAAAAATTTTTTTGAAGCATATCTTCACCCCAGAATTATAAAAATATTCACCCTGTCTTTCTCTAGTTGTATTTTTATACATTTAAATCTTTGACTTATCTGAAATTTGTTTTTTTTAATTTATTTGGTTTTAAGGAGTGTTTAGCTTTATATTTTCTAAATTGTTATTTTTGTCCCAAGAAACACTACTTTTATCATATATTAATAATTAAATTTTTACCTGGACTACACATTACTCCACTGTCTTATCTATTCCTATTCCAGTACTACAGTGTATTAAGTAAAACATTTCTATGTTTTAACAACTAGTAGGGCAAGTTATTTCATCTTCATATACATCTCTGAACAGATGTGTACAGTATTCTTTGAATAACTAACTCTTGCTCACTTCTTTAAAATTTTCATATAAATTTTTGGATACTATTGTAAATGGGATTTTTTATTCCACTGTACTTTTTATTACCTAGCACTTTCAGAATAATTTAAAATAATAGTGGAAAAAAATAATAATGGAGCTGAAAACAATGTGGATCATGTGACTTAAAATTAAAGCCTTTATGTGATTATAACAGATACATAAACCAGGTTAAGAGTACCCACAGACTAAAAGCTGCCAATCATGTATATGAAAAATTGGTACCCAAAATAACAAATCAGAAAGATAAAAACCAAGGAGACAGAAAAACAGGCAAAGACTATGACTAGGCAATGCACAGAAAATGAAATTTAAATGGTGAAAGAACAAAAGCAGCAGCTCAACAATTTGCACACATCAAATTGGCAAAAATGAAGTCTCCCAATGTTGACAAGTGTGAAACAAGGGTACTTGTCATAAACTACTAGCAAGAATGCAAATGAATGAAGCAAAATGTATGTAAGGTAAATATACACACATCCTAATGAATCCAGAAATTATAGTCTAAGGAATAACTCAGAAAGTTAACAATAAGTTGTGGAAAAGGAAAAATGGATAATATCCACTGCAACATTGTTTGCATTAGTGAAAAATGGAAACAGTCTAGAAGTGCATAAACAGAACAGTGGAGAAATAATTTGTGGTGAATCAATGTCCTGAGTAGTATAAGCAAAAGAAATGAACATGAAAGTATCAATACGGATAAATGTTAACAGTAATGCTGGAGTGAAAAAAACGTTTCAGAAGGAAATATGATACTATTTTGAAGATACACAATAGTCTATGTCATTTATGAATACATACTAATATAATAAAAGTGTATAAACGAGGGTGGGGAAAATGCACACCAATCTCAGGATCAGCTGCCTCAAAGAGAGAGAGACTAAAACATGACTTGAATGCAGGGTAAACTATTAATTCTGCTGTTACACATATGGGCATTTATTATACATGTATATGTGTATATTACTCTCAACCTAGTATTTTAAAGTACTTCAAAATCACAATGCAGTTGTTTTAGTACTTCACAGTTGTATATTACCAGAGTCATTTTCACACATATATTATTTTTTTAAACCATGAGCGTAACCATTTATTTTATAATGGTTTTGAAAATAAGGAATTAGTGTTGAATTACATCACATCCTTTTGGCAACTACTGAAATAATTATATCATTTCTTTCCTTTGATGAGTTTACATAGCAAATTAATATATTTTCTACCCATAAATTCTTGGAATTATGGTTCCCTTCTTTAGTAGTGTTCTCGTGAATTTTTATTTGCAAACTGATATATAAACCACCCCTAGATGTATACCCAAGAAAAATGAAAATGTATATCCATACAGAAATGTATACATTTGTATAATATGTAAGTATGCGTTATTACAGCAGCATTATTTATGACAGCCAAAAGGCATAAATCAAATGTGTATCAATGAATGAATGGAGAGAGAATTCACAGTATACACACACACACACAAAGTGGAATATACTCAGCCATAAAAATGAAGTACTGATATGTGCCACAACTTAGAGGAAACTTGAAAACATTAGGCTAGTTGAGCAAAGCCAGATGCAAAAAGTCACATATTGTATTCTGCTTTTATATGATATCCAGAATAGGCAAATCCAGACATAGAAAGCAGATTCAAATTTTCTCACCTCTGGTTGCCAGAAGTGAGGGGGAAAAGAGAATGGGAGTATTTCATAGGTAAGGGTTGTTTTATGGGGTGACAAAAAGTTCTGAAAACAGGAGAGGTAGTGGTTGCACAACACTGTAAATACCTCTAACTACTGAACTATAGCTTTAAAGTGGTCAATAATACATTATATGAATTTCACTTCACTCTTTAAAAAATGATATAATGATCTGAAAAAGACTGAGTAAAATACAGTGTAGTTTTCTTTCATTAGTGATTGCTTTCTTCAAACTTTTACTTTTAATAACCAGAAATTTAGGCAGGGTTAAAGTCTGCATTACCTATAGATAAGTCACAAGTAAAGATAAAGCATCTACTTATAACAGCAGAAGATTTTTCAATATTTATCTATACACTATTAGAAACAGAAGCTTATGTCCTTTAATTAAAAGAGCCTGCTTTGAAATGACTTGAGAAAATACAGGAAATGTACAATCTCCATTATTCTGTATATTTTTAATTTCAGCATATCTATTAACCTATACAAATTCAAACTCTCCACAGGAATATCCTTCTGATCTTTTACCTTCAACAATAAATACCAATTTAAAATGTCCTTAAATCAACACAAAATCCATAAAAGCAAAAGAAATACTCAAGTTAAAAGGGTACATATTGTTAATTTTGTTAATTTCTTCACGTCAATTAAGGATTGTACGACAATCTTAAGGCAGTATAAAAGTATAGTTACCTTTTCTTTCTCAGTTGTTTCCTTTGACTTCTTTTTCTTTTTTAAACTATCCTAAACAAACACACACATACGTATATGTAAATTTTAAGCATGCAGAATACAGCATTATAGGACAAGGAAAAACCACCAAAAAAGTGATTTGTTCTATGAATGAAAAAAGGTTACTCTAATCCCAACATATTAGTCTGAAAAGTAAGAGAAATGTATGCTATGTATTTATTTGCTTGTAAGCAAACAAGCTTCTTCGTTTATCTGGCTGTGTATCTCTAATACCATCATGGTTTATCTTAAAATACAACTTTATGCCACTGCCTATCTTTGCCTCTAATGGTCACATATACCAGAGTTCTAATTCACACTGTGCTCAGATGTCTACCAATCTGATTTCCCTACTCTTCTCACTAGGTGGGGAGGTAATAATTTCTGCTTTTGAATCCCTTAATTCTAGTTATTAATCTCCCCAGGACTCAAGTTTCCTTACTCACTTAACTGGTAACGTACATTAATAATAACTACTTTCTAGGGTTGAGGTTAAATGATTTAATTAATACATTAAGTGCTTCAAACAGTGCCTAATACATAGTAGGTGCTCAATAAATGTTAGTTATCGTTACTATGAGACTGGCTCTTTTGCTCTAAAAAACAGAAGGAAAACCAACATTTACTGAGTTCTTTCTAGACACCAAGTATTTAATATTTTGCCAGGAGATATCTCAAGGGGGCAAGTAGAAACCCCCTAAAAACCCCAGATAGTTTGCTTTGGATTCCTGAGACGCTAGTACAATGTTTGTCAAATTGTGGTCCACAGACACCCATGCATCAGAATAACATGGGGCATCGTTGAAAATGTAGATTTTTTTTTTCCAAGACAGAGTCTCACTCTGTTGTTCAGGCTAGAGTGCCATGGCGTTAGCCTAGCTCATGGCAACCTTAAACTCTTGGGTTCAAGCAAGCCTCTTGCCTCAGCCTCCCCAGTAGCTAGGTGCATGCCACAATACCAGCTAATTTTTTTTTCTTTCTATTTTGAGGAGAGATAGGGTCTCACTTGTGCTTGGGGTGGTATTGAAGTCCTGAGCTCATGTGATCCTCCCACCTTGGCCTCCCAGAGTGTTAGGATTACAGGTGTAGGCACTGTGCCCAGCCTGAAAATGTAAACTTGTGAGCCTTATCAGACTGACTAACCCAGACTCTGGAGATAGGACCCTGGAATCATTTTATCATGAATTTCATGCCATTTTTTAATGATTACTGATTTGAGAGCCAACAGTGTCTGATAATTCTGGTTAGTACAGAACAAATTTAGAGTAGAAAAGAAACTAGACCAGATATTAGAAGATATAAATTCAACTTCCAACTCAAACACTAGTTAAGCAAAATGGTTTTTTCTCTGAACTACAACATCTTTAAGAAAATGGGGAAAATAATGATAGCTGTCATTAAAATGTGGAGACATATGTATGAAAGTACTAAGAGAATGATCAAATATCATATGTAAGCTATTAATTATTAAGCACATCAATTAAGTGGCAGAGAAGAAAAATAAGATAACATCTCATTTCGAAATCAAGAACAACTTAAGACAGGAAGAACTAAATGTCTTTGCTATCCAAAATGTTAATAATTTAAATAATTTTACCTTACTGTCTGATTCAGTTGCCGAAATGGAACTTTCAGAAGATTTATGTGAACGGTTCTTCTTTTTCTTTCTCCGTTTTCCTTGTCTCTTATCCTATATAAAACATTTTTTAAAATATTGGCTTTCTGTTTCAAAAATATAATTTATGTATTTTATTAATGTCAAACAAAACTTAATGAAAGAACCATCTTATAAATGTTTTTCTTAGTAATATTTAAACTGTAACATATCACTTTCCTATTTTATAAAAAGAGTGACTTGAATACATGTAATCCCTAGCATCTAGTCAAATTGCATTTTTGATTTTTTACATCTTTCTTCTATAGATATATATATTTATTTATTTATTTTTGAGACAGAGCCTCAAGCTGGGTAGAGTGCCATAGTGTCACAGCTCACAGCAACCTCCAACTCCTGGGCTCAAGTGATTATCCTGCCTCTGCCTCCCAGGTAGCTGGGACTACAAGCGCCCGCCGCAATGCCCGGCTATTTTTTGGTTGCAGCTGGCATCGTTGTTTGGCGGGCCTGGGCTGGATTCAAACCCGCCAGTTCAGGTATATGTGGCTGACGCCTCAGCTGCTTGAGCCACAGGTACCAAGCCTATAAATATTTTTAAAGGAACAAATTTAAAAATCTAAAAAATACACTATTACCAATATTAAAAATTCTAGTTATTTATTCATGTCAGTACTTTGAGTTATAGATAATTAATCTAAACCAGGTAGTAAACATTTCTAACAGATATTTCACAATGAGTTTCCTTTTGATATCAAGAAATTAGAGATATTACTTTACGAACCACTATCAGCAAAGCTTACCTCATCTTCAGAATCTGAAGAACTGCTGGAAGAATCAGAGCTTGATGAAGAAGAAGATGAATACTTGACCAAGCACAAAACAATTAAAGCTTGTGAGATGCAGGAATTTTGTTCTTTTACTAAGTCTCTCAAATACTTAGTGAAATTAATCTATGGTCTGGAGAAACAGATGCCATATCCATAAATTATAAATATTAAAAATATAAAATGTCAATCCTTCCCAAGAAAAAGCCCAACAAAGTAACAACTGATGTGGTAATAATGGTCATCAATCTTCCTCTTTAAATAGCAACAGAAAAGTTACCAGGTTATAGGGACAGTGGCACTTTCTTATTACTGATAGAAAAACCACCCATTGTCACAACTGAAGGACCTTTAGGCTCCTTGACTCATCTATAGTTTATCTTAAGTATACAGGCTAAATAAATTATTCTTACTTTTTTTGTAGGCTTTCAACTGTAACATTTAGAAAAAGGAAAAACTTTTGCTCACCCTACCAGATTTCTTCTTTTCTTTTTTCTTTCTCTAAATGGAAAAAAATAAAAGTACAAGTCTAAGCAAAATGATGTGAGTTTCAAATGCATCTCTTAATGTATATAGCATTATCATAAAAACCCAACCCTGAGATTATGAATAGCAATACACTAAAAATGTTATTACCTGTCTCTTTTTGGATGAGCTCTCACTTCCACTTAACAATTTCTCCCTGTGTCTTTCTAGTTCTTTCTTCCAGTTCTACAAAAAAGGTTACAAATACCATCAGAAACTATCTGTCCCCTTCTAATACTCCTAATATAGAAAGACAACCTTTGCTTTCCTCCATCCTCTAATTCCTCTCACTCATCTCAGTTTCTAATTACAGTAAAAAGATATTCAGGTGCCAATCCTTGACCCTATCCCTAAGGAACCCTCATCTAAGGGCTCTCTTTAAAGAGGACATTAAAGGTTGGGAGTTCTCCACCATACACTGAGAGAAGAAATAAGTCTTACTGCTGAGGCTGATACCTTTTTTCTTTTCAACAAAGATGGCCCAATTCTCTTTCCAGACTGTAAAAGTTCATTTAGTCTACAATGTGGTTGAAATACTATATACAAGTTTGTAATCAAAACAAGCCAACACTGGAGGTTCTGGGTTGGCAAACACTTATAGGTGCTAGGAGATTGGCAAGTCTGGAGGAGGTATAGAAAAGGGACTCCATACTCCTCCTCCCACATTTCGCCCTATGCATCTCTTTCATTTGGCTGCTCCTGAGTTGTATCTTTTATAACAAACTGGTGACTGCTGAAAACAACAAGCCAATATCACTAGGAAATCCCAGGATAAGATGGGGAGCACAGAGGAAGAACTTAAAAAGTAACTTAGATGATTTAAATTATAAGATGGTTATTATTTACCTTTTTGTGTGTGTGTGACAGAGTCGCACTCTGTTGCCCCAGGCTGGTGTGCTGTGGTGTCAGCCTAGCTCACAGCAACCTCAAACTGCTGGGTTCAAGAGATCTTCCTGCCTCAGCCTCCTGAGTAGCTGGGACTACAGGAACCCCCAAGATGGTTGGCTAATTTTTTCTATTTTTAGCAGAGACAGGGTCTCCCTCTTGCTCAGGCTGGGATTATTATCTACTTTTTAAAGAAAGCATATATTTACATACAAACCTGTATTCTATATAGTAACATTTCTAAAATACATATCCCCCTTCACCAAATTCTTGGTTTATTAAAAAATGAAATGTAAGATGATTTCATTTTTATTATAAGAAAAAAAATTAGTCTATGTTTTAAAAAGGTACTTTTTACAAACCTCATTCATTTTTTCTTCAAATTCAGCCAAAGCCTTAGAACCTTTCTTTTTCTTTTCTAGTTGTTCTTTCACTTCTTCCCTAAAAAGAAGAACAGACAAACAAAATTGCAAGCAATTCAAATTAGATGCAGGCTTACAAATAAGGCAACACAATCTTCACTAAACTTCTCTTAACATTCTAATGGATTTCCATTCCAACGCTGACACACTTCAAACTTCTTTGTTCATATCCATGTAAATAAACTATAATAAAGCCCATTAGATCATACTAATCGTTCCTCTTTTAAACATTTGTCACAAGAGCTAATACGCTAAACCACACACGAGAGCTTACAACCAGCACCATTTAAAATAAATTTTCACTTAATCCTCAACAACCCTGTGAAAAGATAGTATGTACCCCCATTTTAGGCCATAAAACTGATAGTTTCAGTGTTAAGAGTGAGCTAAGGTTTATCTAACTGAATTATTATATTCTATTACTAAATTACTCATTTTATAATGAACCTGACATGTTGTGCAGAGATGAGCTGATGCACCTGGACTGCTTATTCTCAGAATACATACTCACAAGATAGGCCCTAGGTAGGCATCTGGGAACTTGGATTTTGGAGGTTTCTTACCATTTCCTGATCAGAACAGCTCACTGTGCCTATTCTGTACAAATAATGTAGTTTAAGCTGAATACCTGTTTTCCTCCTGGGAATCTGGAACTTGGGTACATCATAAACACAGGCTGATCAACACTCAATAAAACCCTGGACACCAAGCCTCTGATGAACTTGTATTGGCTAGCAGTGTTATTGTTACTCATAGGTAAGGCACTAAGTGCATCTTACATGATTCCTCTAGGATAAGGCCCTTTGAAGTGGGAGTGAACATGGTCTCCCCTGGACTTTGTTTCATGTGCCTCTTCCCTGTGCTAATTGTACTTGGTATCCTTTCATTGTAATGAATCTCGCTATGAGTAGGACTATCTTCTGAGAATCCTGTAACTCCTTCTATGAATTACCAAATCTGAAGGAATTTCCCCTTTAAAGTTCATTCCCTTACCCCATTTCAAAGGTAAAATATACTTTGGGATAATTTTATTCGCTGATATGCTGCAATGGTTAACAGCACTCACTCACGTACGCTAGTAGAAAAGCTTGCTTCCCACTAACTCAAAAGAAAAATTCCTTATCATATAGGGTGCCCCAAAAGTCACCCCTAAAGTTGCCATACATGGGGAAAATGGGAAATTGTAGCTAAACATGACTTTTTTTTACAAAATTTCACAAAATATTTACAAAATATTCTCTATAAGTGAGCCACCTCTTTGTAAGATTTTTGAGATGCAGATTATTCAAACCCACTGTTTTATTAAATAGCTTAGAATACTGCAAGATTAAGGGATAGAGAAGACACTGGGATAAAAAGGATACACGGTAGTGGTTTAGCTATATTGGTTGGTGGGTTCTCGACTGCTTTACAATTACATGTGTATTTGATATAGTTCAAAGAAAGCATACATCAAATATTACTTTAAAAACTCAAATTATCTGGCAATTGCTTGGCAATCAATAAAAGCTTTGAGAATAAACTTTAAGAAGTCTATAAAAAGCTTATAAATAGTTAAATCATTTCACAAATACCACGTAGGCCTTGGTCGATTCAGATAATCCTGGATTGTTGGTCCTGAAGACTGGATTGGACCCCTTGATCTAGCCATTGCTATTGGGTTCATATAGGCCTTGAAAAAAAGAACAAAAATTAATTCCATTAAAGTAACCATTAAAAATGCAAAAGCTCACTCTTCTAATATTAATAATCTTTATTATAAATGCATAATTTGACTAATCAACTTTTCATTACAAAAAAATAAATTTAATCCTTTATCAATCCTTGAAAATTTGAGAGATAAGAAATACCAGTAATTCATATAAAATGTGTATTCCCCCCAGATTCAATGAAATAATGATATCTCTTACCTATTGATGGCTTTATAGTGCTTTCTCCTAAAGCCCAACAACCCTGTGAAGGTGATAACCATGCTTACTGTCAAATTAAGAAACTCAATTCCAAAAACGTTTAAAAAAGATCTAATTCTAAATTCACTGACAGTTCCACTACATCTTCTATCCCAGGAAATAACTGTGTGCCATACCAATGGCAACTGTACTCACAAACTGCTAACATCAAAAATTAAATCAGGCCAAGCCTGGTGGGTTATGCCTATAATCCTAGCACTTTGGGAGGCCAATATAGGAGGAATGCTTGAGCCTAAGAGTTCAAGACTAGCCCGGGCAATATAGGGAAACCCTGTCTCTCAAAAAAAAAAAAAAAAAAAAAATTAAAAAACTAGCTAGACATGGTGGTGCTTACCTACAGTCCTAACTACTCGGGATGCTGAGGCATGAGGATTTCTTGAGCCCTAAACTTAAAGGGGTTAGAGTGGACTAGGACCACACCAGTGCATTCCAGCCTGGGCAACAGAGTGAGACCCTGTCTTAAAATAAATAAATACAATACAACCTCCACAGACCACCTCCCTACACTGACCACCTGCATGAGTTGACTTAATTTTCACAGACTGGACATGCACTACATGTACATATTAGTACAGCAGGCCTAGTTTCTTTACGTTGACCACCTCTGTATGTGGACCAGTTTGTTACAGTCCTTTGGGTGGTCAACTCACAGAAGATCTACTGCAAATGCATTTTAAAAAATAAAAAAAAATTACACATAGGCAACAAAAACAAAAAATAACTTCATCAAAATTAAAATGGCTTGGACATCAAAGGATACTATCCAAAGAGTAAAAAAAAAGTTTACAGAACAGGAGAAAATATTTGCCAATCACATCTGATAAGAGATGAATATCCTGAATGTATAAAGAGCTCTACATTTCAATAACAAGGAATCTCAAATAACCAACTCAAAAATGGGCAAAGGACTTGAACAGACATTTCTCTGAAGAAGGTATACAGTAAATGGCCAATAAGCAAAGCCAAGAAGCACATGAAAAAATGTTTAACATCCCTAGTCCTAAGAGAAATACAAATCTAAATCACTAAGAAATGTTACCTCACACCATTAGGATGGCTATTATCAAAACCCCCCAAACCTTACAAAGGTTGGTGAGGATTCAGAGAAGTTAGAAACCTTGCACACTCCTGGTGGGAAGGTAAAATGGTGTGGCTACTGTAGAAAACAGTTGTTCAAAAAAGTTAAACACAGAATTACTACATGATCCAGCAATTCCACTTCTACATATACCCCAGAGAACTGCAAGCAGAAATTCAAACAGATACCTGTGCACAAATGTTCATCGCAACATTACTCACAAAGCCAAAAAGTGGAAATAATGCAAATGTGGCACATATATATACACAACGGAATATAATTCAGCCTTAAAAAGGAACAAGATTCTGATACATACGACAACTTGGATTAGCCTTGAAAACGTTATGCTAAATGCAATAAGCCAAATACAAAAGGACAAATATATAATTCTACCCGTATAAGGTACCTAGAAAAATCAAATTCATAGAGAAATTAGAATAGAGGTTACTGGAGAAAGGGGAAAAGTAGAAATTAGGATTTATTGTTTAATGGGTACAAGAGGCTGTTGTTTGGGATGATGAAAATGGATAATGGTGACAGCTGCACAACACTAATAAACGTAAGGAATGCCACTGAACTATACACATAAAAATGGTTAAAAATCGTAATTTTTGTTAAGTATATTTTAGTTCAATAAAAAAATCTATTAAAAATTATGTTCTGGACTCAGCACTTGTAGCACAGTGATTATGGCACTGGCCACATACACTGAGGCTGGTGGGTTGGAACCCAGCTTGGGCCAGCTAAACGACAATGACAGCGGCAATAAAAAAAAAAAAATAGCCAGGTGTTGTGGCAGGCGCCTATAGTCCCAGCTAGGGAGGCTGAGGCAAGAGAATCACTTAAGCTCAAGAGTTTGAGGCTGCTGTGAGCTGTGACACCAAGGCATTCTACCAAAGGTGACATAGTGAGACTCTACCTCAAAAAAAAAATTATGTTTTGTATACTAAATGTACTATCACAGAAAGACATATTTTAGAGATTTTTTTCAAAAACATATTGAGATAAAATAAAAAGCCTTCTTTGTTAATGCTACTGTCTAGCAAAGAGATTTTTTCTTTAGAGACTGGGCTTGGTTCTGCTGCCCAGGCTGGAGGGTAGTGGTGCGATTATAGCTCAATGTAACTTAGTTCCTGGGCTCAAGCAATCTGCCTCAGCCTTTAGAATAGCATGGGACTACAGGTATGCACCACCATGCCCAGCTAATTGTTTTTATAAAATTTTTGTAGCAACAGGGTCTCACTATGTTGCCCATGGTCTCAAGCCACCCTGCTACGTTAGCCTTTCAAAGTGCTGGGATTACAGGCATGCACCATCTGGCTAAAGTATTGTTTGTTTAAAATTCACTTTGTTGGCGGTGCCTGTTGTTCAAAGGAGTAGGACACTGGCCCCATATACTGGAGGTGGCGGGTTCAAACCTGGCCCCAGCCAAAAACTGAAAAAAAAAAAAAATCACTTTGCTACAGATGTAAAATCTGGTCTTTAATTCAGTCTCAACCTCTTGATCCACATAATCAGTTCTCTCAAATTTAATTCAAGGCAACAAACATATAGTGCCAGAGCCCCTAATGCCAGAAATGTTTAGAGAATTAGGGACACATGTGGTTATCAAATACAATGTTAAAACCAGCAACATATAGTTCTATATTTTACATCAACTGTTATGCCCTCAAATATATATTTTGTCCAACCACCTTGCCAAGCCTTTTTTTTAAGACAGAATCTCACTCCAGTGCCCCGGGTAGAATGCCCTGGCATCACAGTTCACAGCAACTTCAAACACTTGGGCTCAAGAGAACCTCTTGCCTCAGCCTCCAGAGTAGCTGGGACTACAGGCATCTGCACAATGCCTGGCTAGTTGTTCTATTTTTAGTAAAGATGGGGTGTTGGTCTTTCTCAGACTGATCTCAAACCTCGAACTCCTAAGCTGAGGCAATCCAACCAGCCTTGGCCACCCAGGGTAGGATAACAGGCATGAGCCACTGTGCCCTTTGCTAAGCATTTCCATCAGTTGGTGTGGAAGTACAACAAACAATGAAAGCAGAAATAGAGAACAGTTAGCACAACTAACAATACTGGCAATCCTAAAAATTCAAAGTACAACATGCGAGCTAAGTTCACCATTTGTACAACAGAAGCATTATACATATTGTTAAACTGAACTGTTTGCTTCAAAGCAGCTTCCATACTTACATAACAAAATTTGGCCCAAAGCAGTCTCTATATATAGCGAACTGCAATCTAGCTTGATATGTAAGCAAGCTGTAACCTAAGAGTATACCTTCTTGACCAAGCAACTGAGTCTCAGCCAATCATAGTAGCTGATCCCTCAGCCAATTCCAGACTGAAGGCTGCCAAATTAAGCCCAAATTAGGCAAACACGCAAGTGCTCCAATCAGGTAATCTGTACACTACTTCCTGTTTTTCTTGTTATAAATACAGCTCCCCACTTTGCAAACAGGTGGATGGGTGGCTGAAGATTCTTAACCCTCTTCCTCTGGTTGTAGAAACTTCTTTTTTCCTTAAATAAACTATTCAATTTAACTGGTCTTGGGTTGTTAAATTATAAAAATCATTTCCGAAGAGTGCAAATATATACAAGGATGTTCAGGATTAATTCCTAAAACAGTAAAAACCAAAAACATCCAAATATCCATCAAACCTGGATTTGTTTAAATATATTAAAGTATAACTCCCCAAAATGAAATACAAAGTAGCCACTAACATGAATGAGGTACATCTTTTCTCAAGCAAAAAGCAAAGGTAAGATGCAAAAAAATTAAAAAAACATTTTTTAAATATAATTTTTGAGCAATAAATTTATTTATGCTCAATTTTTCTTGGCACTTCTACCATTAGAATTTGCTTTGTAAAATGTTTTACTCTTTGAAATTCTGTTTTTTTTTTTTTGTTATTGTTTGTTTGTTTGGAGTCAGAGTCTCACTATGTCACTCTCAGTAGAGTGCTGTGGCGTCAAAGTTCACAGCAACCTCAAACTCTTGGGCTTAAGCGATTCTCTTAAGTAGCTGGGACTACAGGTGCCTGCCGCAACACCTGGCTATTTTTTGTTGTTGTTGTTGTTGCAGTTGTCATTGTTGTTTAGCAGATCCTGGCCAGGTTCGAATCCATCTGCCTCGGTGTATGTGGCTGACTGGCACCCTAACCACTGAGCTACAGGTGCCCAGCCTACTCTCTGGAAGTTCTAACAAGATAACTTGGGCATTTCATCTTTTTCCAATTAGACTTTGATTTTGAATAATAGATGTGAAAGTATGATATGAAAATCAGACATTTTCATATCCCATATTTTGTGTGATTCTTTTAAAATTTCAGACTAACAGGAGGGTGCAAATGGTTAGATTACATAGTTTGCGGTTTTTTCTTGTTTTTTTTTAGAGACAGAGTCCCACTTAGTTGCCCTCAGTAGAGTGCTCTGGTGTCACAGCTCACAGCAACCTCAAACTCTTGGGCTCAAGCAATCTTTCTGCCTCAGCCTCCCAGGTAGCTACCACCATGCCAGGCTATTTTTAGACAAGGGGTTTTGCTCTTGCCCAGGCTGGTCTTGAACTTCTGAGCTCAAGTGATCTTCCCTCCTGGGCCTCCCAGAGTGCTAGGATTATAGCCTAGCTCTAATGAGCTATTAGAACCATTTTATTAAGTAACTATAAAATTTTAAAGATCTGCATGCATGTGAGCCAAAATATGGAGGGAGACATCAACATTCAACATTCTTATACTGGAGAAAAAAACCTTTTATTTCTTAAGACAGAGTCTCACTCTGTCACCTGGGTAGACTGCCATAGCATCACAGTTCACAGCAACCTCAAACTCTTGGGCTTCCCTGGTAGCTGGCATTACTGGCATGCACCACCATGCCCAGCTAGTTTTCTTATTTTTTAATAGAGACAGGGTCTCACTCTTGTTCAGGCTGGTCTTGAACTCCTGAGCTCAAACAATCTACCTACCTGGGCCTACTAGAGTGCTGTGCAATTACTGGTGTGAGCCACTCTGTGCCCAGCCTGGAGAAAAGTGTTTAAATAACATTGCTTTTGTAAGAGAAAACAAAAAACCCAAAACTATATACAAACATTATTACATTAATATAAAGGTAAACAAAAATGAGAAAAACTCAACCACAATACTACTATACTAATTGTCCTCATGTAAAAAAAATCACAAATATGATGGTGGCAATTTTTCATTCTAACTTTAGCATCTCATTCTACTGGAGACTGGAGTACAGTAGCAGTATCGTAGCTCACTGCAGCCTTGAACACTTGGGCTCAAGCCATCCTCTTGCCTCAGCCTCCTGAAGTGCTAAGATTACTGGCACAAGCCTCCATGCCCAACCCATTCTACTTTTTAAAAATACCATGATATTTACCATGTTATACATACAGTCTTCAAATTTTCATCTATCTTAAAAGTACATTAGTGTTTTTATGCGTCTTAATGTCTACTGTCAAACTGCTTTCCCAAAGAACATACCAGCAGAAAATAAGAAAGTATTTGCATGCTACCAGTACTAATTATGGTCACTTTATGGTACAATTACATGAGCTACGACTGAAGTAGTAAGGTTTTTAAGCTTTTAACCATAAACATTATCCTCGATCTGCTTAAATATACTCCAAATATCTCCATGATTTATTTCAATCATAACAGTAATATTTATTAGTTGCATCTTATGTTACCAGGCTCCATCCACAACACTTAATATTCTGGGTTTTTGTTTTGCTTTTTGATAGTCATCATAATTCGCTATAACATCAAACTCCTGAGCTCAAACAAGCCTTCTGCCTCAGCCTCCTGAGAAGCTGGGACTATAGCCATCTACCATCAAGCCCCAATATTTTTTGTTTTTTAAGTAGACACCAGGGTCTCTTGTTCAGGCTGGCCTCAAACTCCTGACCTCATGCAATCTCCTGACTCAGCCTTCCAGAGGGCTAGGATTACAAGCATGAGCCACGAGCTTGGCCTATTAATGTTCCTAACATTAAAGAGGGTGTGCAGCTAAGCACTAGCTAAAATATAGAAACCATGCAACTTCTTGACACATCTCACTGTGACTTAATCATTTTAATTACTGTGACCTTATAAATCAAACACTCATATTCATAAGTAACTAGAATTGTCTGTGGCTCCAAACTGCTGCCTGAGTTTGGGTAACAGAAATGATTTTGTTTTTGAAACTCTGGATGGCGGCTCGGCGCCTGTGGCTCAAGTGGCTAAGGCACCAGCCACAAACACCTAAGGCGGCAGGTTCGAATCCAGCCCAGGCCCGCCAAACAACAATGATGGCTGCAACCAAAAAATAGATGGGTGTTGTGGCCGGCACCTCTAGTCCCAGCTACTTGGGAGGCTGAGGCAGGAGACTCGTTTGAGCTCAAGAATTGGAGGTTGCTGTGAACTATGATGTCACCGCACTCTACCCAGGGCGATAGCTTGAGGCTCTGTCTCAAAAAAAAAAAAAAAAAACCCAAAAACCCTGGATGGCAAATTGAGCTCCAGGGAATAAGTATGCAGGCAGGTACAAAAAGAACAGGGCAATAAAACTGCTCAAGACATAATGTGCTAAATTTCATTTGGTACTTTGATTACCTATTTTTATCTATTTCAGAGGGCACAAAGTAACAAAGAAGAACATGAAGGAAACTTCCGGAAAACAACAGGCACAAGGGGTGGCTATCATGAACTTAAAAGTCCTTTACAAATCCTGAGAATTAAACTGTTGTGATTGAAAAAAAAATGTTCTGAATATATAACCCAGAAATAAATCCACACATCTAGAGTGAACTTATCTTCAAAAAAGGTGCCAAAAATATACAGTGGGAAAAGTATCTTCAGTAAATGGTGCTGCGAAAATTGGTTATCTATATGCAGAAGAATGAAACTAGACCCTTATCTATCTACCACAATATACAAAAATCAAATCAAAATGGGTTAAAGACTTAAATCTAAGACCTGAACCTACGAAACTACTAAAAGAACATTGGGGTGATGCTCAGGACATTGGTCTGAGCCTCTAGGCTCCTATTTCTTGAGTAACCCCAAAGCACAGGCAAGCAAAGCAAAATTGGACAAATGGGATCACATCGAGCTAAAAAGTTTCTGCACAATAAAGGAAACAATCAACAATGGGAAGTGACAATCCACAGGATGAGAGAAGTGATTCCCAAACTACCCATCTGGCAGGGACTAACAACTAGAGTGCAAAAGGAGCTCCAATAACTCAACAGGAAAAAAAAAAGTCAAATAATCCATTTTAAAAATGACAAGGATCTGAAATTACACTTCTCGAAAGAAGACATACAAATGGCCAACAGACACATGGGAAAATGCTCAACATCAGTCATCAGTGAAATGCAAACCAAAACTGTAATAAGGTATCATCTTACCCTAGTTTAAATGGATTATCAAAAAGGCAGGCAATAACAAGTGCTGGCAAGGATGTAGAGAAAGGGGAACCCTCCTACACCGTTGGTGGGAATATAAATTAGCGTCACCACCGTGAAGAACAGGATAGAGTTCCTCAAAAAACTGAAAATAGAACTACCATACTACACAGCAATCCCACTGCTGAGTATACATCTAGTTGAGGGAAAACCAATATATAGAAAAGATACCCACACTCCCATGTTTACTCCAACACTATCCACAATAGCCAAGATTTGGAATCAATTTAAGTTTCCATCAATGGATACAGAAATTGTGGTACATATAAACAATGGAGTATTATATAGTCACAAAAATAACAAAATCCTGCCATTTCCAACATGGATGGAACTGGAGAACATTATGTTAAGTAAAATAAGCCAAGTACAGAAAGATAAATCTCACATGTTCTCATTTAGATGCGGGAGCCAAATACTAAAAACAATTGATCTCATGGAGACAAGAGAGTAGAATGATGCTTACCAGAAGCTGAGAACAGGGAAAGGGGAAAGTGGGGATGGTTAACGGGTGCAAAAATATAATGAGATAGAACGAACAATATTTGATAGCACACCAAAGTGACTATAATCACAATAAGGTAGGGTATACTTTAAAATAACCAAAAGCGTGGAACTGGAATCTTCCTAACATAAAGAAATAATAAATGTCAGTTAACCCAAGTTTCAGTTCCAGTTTTGTTTTTTTTTTAATTACTGTTTCAGGTTAATTTGAGGATACAGAGAATAGGTTACAATGTTCATGTTTGTTGTGGAGAGTCACTCTTATAATTGTGCCCCGCCCCCAAGAGGTCTGCCATACCCTTTAACAATGTGCCCATTAAGTGGGATCATACCCATCCTCTCCTTCCCCTTCCCTGGTACCTCACCCCCAACTTTGAATTGATTTGAGTTTTTCTCTTATGTGGGCATGTATTATTTTGGTTCCAGTTTAAATAGTCTCATCCCCTCCTCTACGCAATGAGAATTAAGTTGACAATCTGTTCTTTATCTCTCTTTCAAGTTTTCAATCCCACAATCTTTGAAGTGCAAACAAAATGTTACCAGAACATTTTGTGCCATGATAGCAAAAGTAGTAAGCAGAGCACAAAAGTTATCAAAATGCTCCCGCAAATAAAGCTAACTTGTTTTTCAAATGTTTTAAAAACTCCCCCCCCCCCAGTAAATTGAAACATTCAGACCTCTGTATGAAACTAACCCCCCAATCAGGTGATTTCTAAACATTCAAGGTCCAAGGGCATTAAAAAAGGCCAAACACTCTTAGCACCCCAATCCAAAGGATGCTCCAGAATAACACCTTTCAACTCTATGACAATCAAGATACCACAACGAGGTCTCAAAACCAATTGAAAAGAATAGTCCTTAACTTTCTAACCAGGATTCACTACCTCGGTGGTTCCTTGACATTTTCGACACAACAACATTTTGAAGACAGAAAATGTCATCACTTCATAAAGGGCTCTTCTTAGTGCACGCGCGCGCAAACACGCCCCCTCAACTGTTGAATAAAAACCTTGTTCATGAAATATAAAATTAAGCCAATTCATTTCAGGGTAAACTGATTTCTCCCAAGCCCTCTGGCTCTAAACAGTGGGCACTGCTGGCCCGGGTGCGGGAGGGAAGGGAGCCAGGGAGCAGCGCCAGAAGCAGCGGCGGGATGAGGGAAGAGGAATCCGGAGGGCGAGAGGAGAGTCGGGGACCCGTAGGCGCCAACTGCGTGCGTGACGCACGCGCATCTGGCACCGGTGGAGAGGTTGGGTCTCCGGGCCCCAAGTCCGAGGGCCGCCACTGGCCTTCCTCCCAAGCCGGGAAGGCCGAGGGATTCCGCTCTCCTGCTGCCGAGTCCCACATCGCCGCACTGTTTTCCCCACCGACTACTCACCACTCGATTGTCGCGCTTCCCCATGGTGCCCGACTGAGCGCACAGTCACACGCAGACGAAAACCAGGCCGGAGACGCGGCCGAAGCGGGCCCGCCGCAGGTCCTTCTGCCGCCCCCCGACTCCGCCCAGAGAGCGGCTCCGCGCGGACCCGACGGCCCCGCTTGTCCACAGCGCCCCCTACCGCCGCGGAGGACAGCCCGGCGCCGGCGGTCACTCCGGGTTCCCAGGGGTCTCCGGGGGGATTCCTGTTCTTTCTCACCCACCCAGGAGCCGGTGGACACTGCACACAAGCCTCACAAAGACGGTTCGCGTCCGTTTCTCCTTGGGTTGTTCTGCTCGCTCCTATTTTTGATGTACTGAAATACCAAGATTATTCCAACGCTTACTGTGCACAAGTGGTAAACTGAGGACCCGGAGCCGTGGACGCACACAGTCTGGTGGGGGAGAAAGACAACGCTGGCATAGATCCTGCTAATGAAATATCCCTTTAAGTTCATCCATCACCTGTGCGTTCATTTCATACTGATTTTTCGAACATTTGTTTCGTGCAGTTTCATTAACAGTGATTGGAAGCTGGAGCTGAAGCAGGACGTGAAGACAAAACAAATCCCTACCTTCAAGGGGCCTGTTTATAAGCTTGTGAGGGTAAAAACAATTATACACAAGGCTAGCTTTACTGCATGGCATGTCATTATGCTGTCAGTACAGTACAGAGCAGAAACTTCAAGGAAGATGAACTGGGCTCCAGAGACGGATACGTTGTATTTAGTATTTACAGATCCGGATAAAGCAACCTCTTTCGGCTCAGCTCAGCTCAGAATCATGAGGAAGTAAGTGAAAATCACTTAGGATCTTTGCTGGACTCTTGGAAAATGGCCAAATGGAACTCACATTCATTACACGCAAGAAAATGCTTTAAAATCATTTCTCCCAAACTCTGTCTCTCACCTATTGAGAGACATTATACTTATACAACTTTGTATATAATTGCATTTTTAAAAACCACACACACAAAAATACCATGAAAGCACTGCTTTCCTTACACTATCACACTGCCTTTGGTGAGGGTTGGAGGGGGTGGCAGTGAAAGAGGATTGAGAAGTGGCATTTCAGGTGGACCGTGATCCTGGGCGGATTTCCCACAGAGGAGCCAAGACAGAAGGACATTCCAAACTTAGGGAACAGCCTAAGTAAAAGGAATGGCATCACAGAACTATGTGGTAGAGGGGATCCGAGGTTGGAAAGTTACACTGGGGCTGGAGGCAAAGGACTTTGAAAATCAAGGGAAGTTTTATTTTATTCTGCAGGCTTTTATTTAAATGCCTTTTAAAAAGTTAATGTTATAGCTCTGCGCTTGTAGCATAGTGGTTACAGCGCCAGCCACATGCACCAAGGCTGGCGGATTCCAACCCAGGCCAGGCCTGCCAAACAACGACAACTACAACCAAAAAATAGCCAGGGTTGTGGTGGGTGCTTGTTGTCCCAGCTACTTGGGAGGCTGAGGCAAAAGAATTGCTTAAGCCTAAGAGTTTGAGGTTGCTGTGAGCTGTGATTCAACGGCACTCTACCAAGAGCGACATAGTGAGACTCTGTCTCAAAAATAAAATAAAATAAAAAGTTAATATTATTTTTTAACCGATAAATGAAAAGTGTATACATTTATGGGGTACAATGTGATATTTGATATAGGTACACAATGTGTAATGATTAAATCAAGCCAATTGACATATCCATTCCCTTGCTTACCTATCCTTTTTTTTTTTTTTTTT